AAGCAGGGGAAGATGGCCCAAGTGCTTGGAACCCTGCCACCCACATTGGAGACTCAGATGGAGCTCCTGACTTTGGCCTGCCATTACAGCCACTTGGGGAGTGAACCAGCAGATGGAAGATCCCTCTGTCTCTCCCTCTCACTCTATAACTCTTTCAAATAAATAAATCATTAAAAAAATAAAACGTGCATTTTGAAGACTCCATGTGCATGTGGTTAGAACATAAAAATAACATTTCTTTAAGGTCTTCTGGGGTTAATAATAACTTTGAATTAATTCACTATTATTTTAAAAGTCAGTATTGTAACTTATAATTGTCAAAGTTTCTCAGATGTCCTTTTATAAAAAAAAAAAAATTCTACAACACAGGCCCAATCCTTTGGGGTTTGGCTTCAATGCAGCCTCTGTAGCAGAACTTTAGAGATATGAACACGTTGACATATCCATCACCTTAAACATTTACAATGTGTTTGTGTTGGGCATATTCAAAATCCTCTCTACTAGCTCTTTTGAAAATACACACTGAAATGTTGTCCACCATAATTACCCTACTACACTGTAAAGACATCAGAAGTTACTCCATCCCACTACACACTTGCTCTCAATAGCCATCCATGCTCCATCCCCTCCTGTATGTTCTTGTCTATAAAGCAAGGTTCTCTCTTCTCTCTTTAAAAGCCATACATATACATATACCTAAGTGTGTGTGGATTTACATATAAGTATGTATTTAAAAGCAATGCTTTATCACCTGTGTGAGCATTTTTCTTCCTGGAAGAAAAGGCCTTGAAAAGGCCCTTGTACCTTCTTCCTTGTGGCTGGCGTTGTGATGTCTGTGGCTGGGGTTGTCCTGCAGGTGTACAGTATCGCTTAGTGGTTTGCTGACTTTCTGCTTTGGCTGAGAGTCACTTGCCCAATTGCTTTCATTGAGGCAGTGACATCATTTGCTTTTACTTCTATTTTTGAAGGTGAAGGTATTTGCTTCTAATGCCAAACAGATGCACATCGCTAATCACTTGAAAGGGAGCCCAGCTGAAGAGGAGAGAAATGCGCAGGGGCCAAGTGCCAGGAGAGTCCGTGGGGATGAACAAGACTTGGCCCACCTGAACTCCAGTGAGCTTGATGCTGTTATTATATCTGGTGAGTTAGCAGAATGCTGTGAGGCCAACTGGTCGTTTTAATTAATGCTCTCTGACTTTGAAACCTTCTTCCTAGAAAAATGAATAGTGGATATGTCAAGTACCTCAACCTAATCATTACACACTGTAAACGTGTACTTCAATACCATACTGTATTCTATAAATATGTGTAATTACTATGTGTTCATTAAATTATATTTTTTTTTAAAAAAAGTGTAGGGCTCACAAACATGGGAGAATTATTTCCATAGACCCTTAAAATGCTTTGAAAGCAGTGATTCTCAACTCAGGCTAGCTGGAGAATTTGGGAACCCAGCAGACCAATTCAGTGACGAGCCAGCCTGGGCATTCCCACGGCTTAAAATCTCCGCAGGTTTGGTAACCACTGATCCAAAGCAAATGGGAGAGAAAATTCACAGTTCTGAGTTCAAAACCCAGAAGTCGTAATGTAGAGTCTGGAGCAGAACGTTTGACAGTCCTCATTGACAGATGTCCAAGCATCCAGCCCCACAAGCTCTAGGTTAATAGTTCACCCTCAGACCTGGTGTGTGTTGGGGGGAAAGGAGGGGTGTGATCCAGCCAATCTCCTTGCCGCCACCCTTACATTCTGGAGGAGCACTGATCTGGGGAAACAGGAGGACCTGGAGGCAAAGGAGGAATTTCAGGGGAGGCCACTGTGTACTGGGGTAGAGGGGGTGTCAGTTCATTTTCTTTACTAAATAGTACCCCTGAGACTAGATAATGTATAAAGAAAAGAGGATTATTTAGCCCACAGTTCCAAAGGCTGGAAGTCCAAGATTGGCAGCCACATCAGCTCAGCTTCTGGTGAGGGCCTCCTGCTGCTGCTCCACTCAGCAGACAGCCCAGGAAGCTGAACACACTTTATAGATGCGCACTCTGATAATAAGAATCCAGTCCTACTACATGGCATTAATCCATTAATGAGGGCTCCCCCAACCATGACCAAGCACCTCCATTCGTTGCCACCTCAGCCTACTGTTACCACTCTGTGTATTTGAATGTTAGTGTACATTACCATTTTTAACATTCTCTCCTCCATATTTTCAGTACTATAAAATGGAGTAACAGCTCCTATCTGACATGTCTGAGACAGACTGTAAGCACATATATGTCCTATTATTAGTAGAAAGACGGAACATTTTGAAGGGCAAGAAAGATGCAAAGAAACATGATTTTAGTTTTAAACCAGTAATTCTGCCAATAGGCTGGCCTTCGGTTGCTTCGTGGAATTAATGGGATCCACCTGCCAAGGAGTCAAACATGTTTTCAACACTTGCATGAACTTTGGAACCTTTCATAAAGTGCTGAGGCATTTGCTGCATTGTAATCAAGAGTAAATAAGTCCATCAACCTCCACGGGACTTCACCTCAAGGTCAGAGGCCCAGGTTCAATAAACAACCACAATCCAGTGAATGTAGGCCTTGCCCTTCCTCCACTAGGAAGTCAGTAAGTACTTGTTGAACAGATTCATGAATGTCATCTGCCTTCAAATTTTAAGACCCGCAGACAAAAGAAAAAAAAAAGCTTATAACATAATTTAAGTTACCATTACAAAGAAAGGTGTAACTCCTGTAACAGCAGTTCCTCGAAAAGTTAATTATAGAATTACCAACTGGATCCAGCAATTCCACTCCAAGGCATATACCCACAAGAAGAAAAGGCAAGGACTCGGTATCTGTGTGTTCACATTCACAGCAGCATCATACACCCACAAGAGGAAACCAGCCCAAATGTCCAGCCAGTCATCCAAATATGGTATGAACGCAATGGGCCACGATCCAGCCTTAAAAGGAATAAAATGTTGACACACGGCACAGCATGAGTGAACTCTGAGGCCATATGCTAAGTGAAAGAAAGCCGGGCACAAAAGAACAAATACGGTGGGATTCCTCTTCATGAGGCAACTTCACAAAGTAGGACGGAGGTTCTCCGGCTGGGTGGCAAGGGGAGAGACTGGGGACTTATTGCTTCATGGCTGTGGAGAAGTTCTGGAGGCGGCGGTGGAGAGGGTTGCACAACATTGTCGACGAACTGATTGCCCTGAGTTGTGCACTTAAAAACGGTTAAAACGATAATGCTATGTCTATTCTTACCACCAAAGCCAAAAGCAAAGGAAACACCCTGCTTTTGGCAGAGTGTAAAATAACATAAGCTTTTTTACTTAAAAGTAAAGGCTGATGCTTCAGGGCTTGACGGCTGGCTTCCTGCTTACCCATGTCCTAAGGCACAAACAGCCATGTTCCTTATCTCTCTCTCTCTCTCTCTCTCTCTCTCTTTTTTTTTTTTTTTCCAAAGCAGGAGAACCTGGTCAGGCCAGACAAGCCTGGCACCCGACACCTAAGACCAGGGCTTCCATGATTTCACCATACCAGCACCTCTTTGTAGCGCCTTTACAAGCCCCAAATATCCGGCATCCAGCGGAGCTGAAGTCTTTGACACCCGGAAGTCTGCTAGGATCTCATCTGTCGGCAGATCAAATGTTCTCTCTCCTTCACCCCAAAACTCTAGCCTCCGTATTATGGTTGGCACCAGGGCCAGAGATGGAGCTTTCGGTAACAGTAGCAGCGCGTGGGGGTATGGGAAGGAGGAACGAGAAGGCGTCTGCAGGTGTATGGGGCAGGGTGCTGGGGCTGGCCTTGGGCCTCGTTTCCAACCTCCTTGGTGGGCATCCTCCCTGCCCACCTTTTCTCCAAAGCTCAGTTCAGCAGCTGGAACAAGGAGGAGATCTGGCTACGGTTCGAAATCAGAAAGGCCGAGGGCTGGACTGAAGGCTTGGGGAGGGACTGCGCTGGCGGAAACCGGCTGCGCAAGCACTGCAGAGCTTCCCGCCCTGGGCTGCGGGCCAGGACGCGGCCCCGCCGAGCCTGCCGCAGGGCGAGGCTGCCTGGGCCGCGGCCCTCCTCCCGCGCGCCCTCTGGCGGCGGGTGGGATTCTGGCGCAGGGCCAGGGTTGTCCCCGAAACCAGCTCTTCCGGATCTTAGAGGCTCCCGAGTCCAAAGCATAAAGAGCATCATTGGGTACGGAGGAACAGATGGGTTTTGTGAGACAGCAGAGGCAAGGAAACAAAGAGCCGACAAAAAAGTGGGTTGGCTCACATCAAGTCATTTCAGCACTTTCCTCGTAAGGGACAGAGCAGAGGATTCTTCTTATCATGCTAGCTCAGCTTGTGCCGATTGGTTGCTGTGGATCTCCAGTGCTGGGAAGAATTGATCTGCCTGGGAATTTTCCTGTTTCCTTGAAGTTCCAGTTGGATTCCACAGGCACCTGGCATGACTGACTCCATGTTGGTCTGGCCTGTTGGGGCCTAGTGCAGGAGCTCAGGCCAAACAATGGCCTTCCATAAATTGTATTAAAACAACGTTGAGAAGTCTGTCGTTGAGGCGGTTTTCTTGAACGTACTTGCAAACTGTTCACAATGGAAGTAAATAGATTTGTATACTTGTGCATAAGTATATATTTAATTAATCCAACAAAAATTAATTTTTCAATAATTAATTCAACAAAAAAGATCTGCAGCCAGGTAGGCAGCGGGGGCCCGTGGCGCTAGGGGCATCACCGGCGGGCGTCCGCCATGGTTGTGGCGGTGAGAATCGGTCATCCCCTCTCCCACCCCCGGAGCTGTCCTGGGTCTTCCTCAGACACGCAGTGTTCGGGGGCACCTAATCCGGGCGAAGGGGGACCCGGTAAAGTCCAGAGTTCCGGGCTGCAGAACCCAAAGGAGCCCAGAAGCCGAATTTGGGGTTGGTCTGGGTTTGGCTTCGGTGGCGGTTGGGGGAGACCCAGGGGCTCCCCACCGAGGAGGTCTCCACACTGACACTCGAAGCCGCACTTCAGTCGGTGACTGAGAGGCCTGGATGGAACTCGCTGGGAGCCCGGACCAGAGCAACGTGCGGAGGCCGCCGGGGCGGAGGGGAGTCAGGGCCGCGCGGAGATGCGGGGGACGCGCTGAGGCGTCACGCGCCCAGCTTCGGCCGGAGCGCGGCTGCGCGCATGCTCGGCCCTCCGCGGCGGCGGGCTGGGCCGGCGCCGGAAGCACCGGGAGCCGCCCTATGGCGCAGGTCTGGAGCGCAGAGCCGAAGACGCGGGTCCGAGGGGGCGCGGCCCGGGGGCTCGCGCCGCGGCGCTGGCTCCTGCTGCTGTGCTGGCTGACGGCAGCTCTGGGCTGGCCGCGGGCCTCGGGCGGCCTCTCCCGGCGCCGCTGGCCGGTGCCCTACAAGTGAGTGCGCGGCGGCGCGGGGGCGCGCGGAGCTGAGCGCGCGCACGGCTGGGGCTGCGAAGGGGGATTTTGCGGGGGGCGGAACCTGGCGCGTGTCGCGCGGGGAGGTGGGGGAAAGTCGCTGTCGCGCGGCGGCGCTCGGCGGCTGTCGTAGCACCGTCGTGAAGTGGGGGGGGGGGGGGCGCCCGGCCTCGCTCGCTGCCGTAGAAGAAAAGGGGCTCGTGTACGGTCATCGAGTGACTTTTGATACTGCCATTGCCTCCTGGAAGACGGTGTCAGTCGGGTGCATCACTTCTGCGGCGCACTGTCGTTACAGCCTCTCCCTAGCATTGGTGCATTTATCAGGGTTGCCCAGTTCCTGCCGCAGTTGGCGTTTAAAAGCCCCGCATCCCGGTCGCGGGCCCCGCGGGGATGTCTTCCGTCCGCGGGGAGGCCGCAGGCCCGCGAAGCCAACGCGAGCCGCTGACCTGCGCGAGGCTCTGGCCTGACAAAATAACGACCCGGGAGGCGGGGTTCCGGCGAGGTCAGGCTCCGGAGCTGCGTGAGACTGGCGCCCGCCTGCCCCGAGGCAGGAGTGGTGGCCACGAGGGTCAGTTTCGCACCTGCCAGCCGTGTCACACCCAGGGGTCAGTGTAGTCTCCCTTCGTTGTGTGTGTTTTGAGGTTTCTTTTGTTTTGTTTTTGCCCGATATATGTAAGAAGGGATATTTGAGGTCGAAGTTGATTTCCTTGAAAATGTTAATAAGATGTTCCTAACAAGTAAAGATCATATGTTCAGAAGAGATCTGTAAACCCAAAACTCTTTAATATTAGAGCTAAATTTGACTATGACTTCTTACTGTATCATTGAAAGTTTTGTACTTTTTTTTTTTTAAGCCAGAGCCAGAAACTGAACCCAGGTACTCTTTTTTTTTTTTTTTTTTTTTTTTGACAGAGTTACAGACAGCGAGAGAGAGACAGAAAGGTCTTCCTTCCAGAAAGGTCTTCCTTCCGTTGGTTCACTCCCCAAATGGCGGCCACAGTTGGCGCTGCGCCGATCTGAAGCCAGGAGCCAGGTGTTTCCTCCTGGTCTCCCATGGGGTGCAGGGCCCAAGCACTTGGGCCATCCTCCACTGCACTCCCGGGCCACAGCAGAGAGCTGGACCTGAAGAGGAGCAACCGGGACAGAATCTGGTGCCCTGACCGGGACTAGAACCCGGTGTGCCGGCCCCGAAAAGTTTTGTACTTGTAAGTGTAGGCTGTCATCTGAGCTCCTCAGTTGAACGTAATATTTAACCTTAGTAAGTTCACACTTAAGTTTTGCCTCTAAAATTATCTTCGACCTAAAACAGACTTTGCTGTGGGCAAGGAAACCTACACATGTAGTGACAGTTTTTGTTTAAGCCAGCTTAGTGCCCGTGAAACAGTGTTCCCCCAGTCTCATACACGTTTCAGAGAGTTGTCGCTGTTTGTGGTTACCATCATGGTTTCAGGTCTTAAAATGGAAATTTGTGTCGACGTGCTAGACTTGTAAAACAAGACATCTGACTAGGACCCTGGGGATCTTGAATTCTTAGAGGACAGGGGCTGTTTGTCATTCTGCCTTCTGTCGCAGTGCCCAGTGCCGATGGGGACCCGTGTCTGTTGAACTGGATTCATCTGTAGCCCTCGTAGGCCTTGTCTTCTTGCCTGCATTGTTGCAGTCACCTCATAACTCAGCCTTAACTTGGACTGGCTGCCCACTTCCTTTTAATTCATGAAGTAAGGTTTACCCAATAGCGGATTCACTCCTTCAACGTCTGCTACTTAAAACCCTTTCCAGCTCACTGCAGGGCTCAGCGCTCCCGTAGTCTGCCTCTAGGGGGTGCTGTTCATAGTTTCCTAGCAACAAAGTAACAGCCTTTGCGGAGCCCTCCCCTCTGCGCGCCTGCTGGAGTCACTTCAGATATGCCATATCTGTCTTATATACTCTGTTTTCTCTCCTTTCTTCACAAGAACCTTAAAAACCCGAGCCAGGTCATAATTTTTTAGCCTCCTTGTCTACCCACCACATATCAGGTAAAATTATTTTTCCCTCCTTTGTGCCATAGCACAGGGCTCTGTGTCCTCGGTTTAGCACTTAGCACACTTCACCTCCTTACTTGTGTGATGCCCTCCCAGCCTGCACCCCAGGCTGGGTGAGGAAGGGAACAGTGTCTTGCTTGGTTGGTTGAATGCATGTTGGCTAGTTCTTAAGTAAACCTAAAATATACTCTATTTAGTCATAACTTCAATAACCTTCATGTATGGATTGTTTGGGAAACTGAACACATTGAAAAAATACTCCTTTCTTCTGTCAACTTTTGTACAGTGTGTCCACCATGGTAAGATCTGACATGATCCGGTCTTCCGAATTCTCACAGTGGAACAGGGAGGCGGGAAGCACGTGGTCATCAGAGTGCTTTTCATTTACCCTTTGTTATTAGGGACAAAGCTGCAAGTTTGTTCACAGGATAACAAGGGAAATGTGCACTGTTGCCCCTTAGTATCCACGGAGAATTGATCCCAGGCCTTCCCACGGATTCCAGAATCCCCGAATGCCAAGTCCCTGATACAGAATGATGTGGTGCTTACAGAACCTGCGCACGTTCTCTCATGCACTTTGAGTCCTCTCTGGGTTACTTAATCCTGAATACCAGGTGACTGCTGTACAGGTCGTTGCTGTCCTGTTTAGGGACGAGTGACAGGGAGAGCAGAGTCGGTACACGCTCAGAACAGATGCGTTTCTTTTTCACAGATGTTTGCAGTCTGCAGTTTGTTGAACCCAAAGACATAGAATCCACGGAGATGAAAGGCTGAGTGTATTTACATTTATTTACCAGGGCCCAACCTCTGAATATGTTCCCTAAAAACGTGCCTGATGGCAAAATTAGAACCAATTCTAAAATGTGTAAGGAAAAGCAGATTCCGGTTAGAGTCTGAGCTGATGGTTTCTTTTTTCTGTGTTAGACGCTTTTCCTTCCGTCCAGAGGCAGATCCTTATTGTCAAGCCAAGTACACTTTCTGTCCAACTGGCTCGACCATCCCAGTTATGAAGGAGGATGATGTCATTGAAGTCTTTCGACTGCAAGCTCCAGTGTGGGAATTTAAATACGGAGACCTCCTGGGACACTTGGTAAGAGTGCATCTTGATCCGGCAACTTTGGATAATTGATTTGACTATTCGGTTTCTTTGAGGGAGTAATCACCTATCAGAGGGCTGATTTTACATCATTTTTATCAGCGTTCCTCTTTGCATATTTCAAATGAGTAGTCGAAAACATCATAGTTTGTAAACTTGACAGCAACAAATACAATCACTTTAATCCCTTGAAAATTATTCATCTAAACCCAGTCGCTAAAATCAGCTCCTGGAAATTGAGATGGAAGAGGCCCGGAAGAAGGGGCAGAGCAGACGTCTTGGTTCCTGAGTGCATCCCTGTGAGGTGGCTAAGAGTTCCTTCCTGAGGCTGGCGAGGAGGCTTCTCCGGTTCGCTCTGAGCTGTGAGGGAACGAGTGTCCTGTGGCATACGGCCATCCTGAGATGAGCTGCAGTCACCCTGCCCAGGGCGCACGAGGGACAGCTGACCGGCTGTGCTGCTGGATAGGCGTCTGTGGTTTACCACGTGTTCTACCGTAGAAACCAGGGGTTACCTGGACGCCTGCTTACCTCACAGGTGCTTTTCTACACGTGTTGTTTTTACGCAGAAAATTATGCACGACGCCATTGGATTCAGGAGTACGCTGACTGGCAAGAACTACACGATGGAGTGGTACGAACTTTTCCAGCTCGGCAACTGCACGTTTCCCCACCTGCGACCTGAAACCAGTGCCCCTTTCTGGTGTAATCAAGGGGCTGCCTGCTTTTTCGAAGGAATCGACGATCTCCACTGGAAGGAAAATGGGACGTTAGTTCTAGTGGCGGCCATATCGGGTAAGTTGGAAGAAGGTGGCAGGGTAAGTACTGGATGGTTGCATCAGCGCCCAGACGTAAAGAATGGCTCCTCCTGAGGCGTTTCGGCAGGGTTCTCACTTCTCACAGGTCAGCTGTCCACTGTGCTTCTGGAACGCTAACCTCTGCCCCTTCTCACACACGCAGAACGTCACCCGTGGCTGAAGAGGCGCTCTTCTTTTGCTCTCTTTCCACTGTAAACATGAATGAAATGTTAAAATGCTTTACACAGTTAAACTTTCCAGATGAAACAGGGGAAGGAAATCCATACAATGCCCAATTAGAGGACCTGTTAACTGTACCTCTTGGGTTTTTTAGTGTTGGTAAAATATTATGTTGAGAGGAATCAGAGCTGCTGACCGCATATTTTTCTGTGGGTCTAGCAGTGTTCTGAGTTCTGTGTGTGTGTCATGTCGTTTAGGATCACAGCCAGCCCCCAAGACAGGCACTGTTATTTTACAGAGGGGAAAACAGGGACACACAAGAGGGAAAACAGGGACACACAAGAGGTTAGAGTTACACAGTTAAGGAAGTGCAACTCCATCCCTGACAGTCAAGCCCAAGAGGCCATTCTCTAAACAGCCTTGGTACAGGCTCCCCAAATGAATATGGTCTCAGACACTGGAGACCCCTCGAGCAGTTTAATTTCGTGTCTCTGAGATTCTCTGTTCTGGGTTCACTGGAAAGTTGCTGAAGTAGTTGGAATTTGGCTGCCTGTGCTGCATTGTCGGGTAGTGATGAAAGGAGTTCACAGAGCTCATTGGTAACTTGCTGGGTGACCTTAGGGCGTATTTTAGCCTATTGGCCCATGGCCTTGTGTGTGGAATGGGGATGAAACGACCCTTCTCTTTCAGAGGTAGGAGCTTACCCAGGTGGTTTATCAAGCATTGTATTACAAATTGCTGTTCCCTGAAAAGTGGAAGCCTCTGAGATGACAGCACAGTTTGTGAGAATTGTTCATTGAACCCTAGAACTTGAGGAACTGATCGTGCCTTCTACTTGCAAAGCTTCTTATAAGTCATTTTGAGTTGTGTTAACTCACAGTTCAGTGGGGAGGATAAGATACCCTTCTTCTTTTGCAAATAAGGATTTAAGGCTCCGCCAAGAAACCTGACTCTCAAGGTCATAGAGCTGGATGTGGTAGAAGCAGGACTAGGATTGGGTCTTTTAAACTGAATATGCCACTACTATTTTCTAATCTTCCCTCCTGTTTTCTGATCAGTGTACCCCAAATCATCCCAACAACATGAAATTCTCTCTCTTCTAACGATGCTTAGTAAACTATATAACTGCTCTTTAATTCCAAACCAAGTCACATCTCTCCCTTCTCCATTTCCACCTGAATCATTAGCTAAAATTCCTCCTTCTGATGTAAATGCATCATCATATGAACAAGCGATCAGGGTTTTCTGTAAAAGTTTATAATATGCCAACACTTAAATCTTTTAAGTTGTCTATATGTCTTGTAATTCATCTTGTTCATTGACCTTTCTTCATGTTTCATAATAGTACTTTGAAATACAGTGATGGCTTATCTCTTAAGTACAGCAGTCTTTCCAAGTGCACTCTAGGATAGTCCCAGTTCTAGAAATGGCCTTTAGATATTTTGTTACCTGATTCATAAATGATAAAGACAACCAGTATCCATTTTACAAAACATGGGGTATTGGCCGGCGCCGCGGCTCACTAGGCTAATCTCTGCTGTGGGTGCCGCACACCTGGGTTCTAAGTTCCCGGCCGGAGGCGCGGTTCTGTTCCCGTTGCCCTTCTTCCAAGGCCAGCTCTTCTGCTGTGGCCAGGGAAGTGCAGTGGAGGATGGCCCAGGTGCTTTGGGCCCTGCCCCCCCATGGGAAGACCAAGAAAAGCACCTGGCTCCTGGCTCCTGCCATCAGATCAGCGCGGTGCGCTGGCCGCAGCACGCCGGCCGCGGCGGCCATTGGAGGGTGAACCAACGGCAAAGGAAGACTTTTCTCTCTGTCTCTCTCTCTCACTGTCCACTCTGCCTGTCAAAAAAAAAAAAAAAAAAAATCAGAATGCATTCTGATTATTAAAAAAAAAAAAAAAAAAAAAAACATGAGGTATTTTATGGAGTCAAGTTGGAGTAACCAAAGAAAGGTTTGCACACAGTGACAAAGTGAAATGCTACAAGGCCCAGCTTTATTAGGGAGCATAAATGCCCAGATGAGGCTGTAACCAGAGTATAATGTTTTCTAAGGTGGTAAGAGGCAGGATTAGACACCGTGGAGTCTGTATAATCCATGAAGCTGGCTAAAACCATTTCCTGTTTAGCTGATTCAGTGAAAGAATTTGCTGGGTGGGGAGGTGATTAGCAACACCCTACACAAGCTGCAAGCACAGGGAGACCAGGGAGGTAGCACATATACAAGGTTGACGGGGCATGGTGCATTCCGGAGTAGCTAATCCTCCTGCAGCCTTGGTGTACAGTGTGCACACCACACTTTGAGACCGAAAAATTCCACCCTTTGGCCTCCTCAGTTTTCCTGAAAGGCTCTTTTTCACCCATTCATCTTTTCTCTCTTCTTTCCTTGCTTTCCCTTTCTTTTGTGCCTCCCTGATTCCAAGACTGGTGGAGCAGGGTAGAGAAAAAGACATCCTTCATTTGCATAATGTCGCTTTACTACAGACAGTGATTATAATGAGTAATTATAATGATGATAGAGTCAGTATGTAAGACTTGTCTGTATACCTGTTATATCTGATGTTTATGGTTCAGCAATGCCCTTTGCCTTGAAGAATGGAATAAAAACTGGCTGAACATGGATTCATGTTGTGAGATGTGCATTTGGAAATTCAAAAACTAGTTCTTACTCATGTGCATCCATGGCCTTAAGCAGGTCAGAACATTTTATTTAAAACTAACATAATTGGCTTTGTTCACACAGGTGATTTTTCTTTTTTTACCTAGGAGACACATTTAACAAAATGGCAAAGTGGGTGAAGGAGGACAATGAAACGGGGATTTATTATGAGACATGGACCGTCCGAGCCAGCCCAGAAAAGGGGGCAGAGACATGGTTTGACTCCTACGACTGTTCCAAATTTGTGTTAAGGACATACAAGAAGTTGGCTGAACTTGGAGCAGAATTCAAGAGAATAGAAACGAACTACACGAGAATATTTCTTTACAGTACAGAACCCACTTATTTGGGAAATGAAACCTCTATCTTTGGGCCAACAGGAAACATGACTCTTGCTTTAGCCATAAAAAAATTTTATTATCCCTTCCAACCACATTTATCAACCAAAGAATTTCTGTGGAGTCTCCTGAAAATTTTTGACTCAGTGATTCTGCACAGACAGTTCTATTTGTTTTATAATTTTGAATACTGGTTTTTACCCATGAAGTTTCCTTTTATTAAAATAACATATGAAGAAATCCCTTTACCTGACAGAAACAGAACACTGCCTGCTTTATGAAACCCAAATTCTGGGGCCACTGCCTGCAGTGCCAGCATCCCACACAGGTGCCGGTTTGAGTCCTGGCTGCTCTACTTCTGATCCAGCTCCCTGCCAATGCACCTGGGAAAACAGGGGAAGGTGGCCCAAGGCCTTGGGCCTCTGCACCCACATGGGAGACCCAGAAGCAGCTGCTGGTTCCTGACTTCAGAACAGCCTAACTCCAGCCATTGCAGCCATTTGGGGAGTGAACCAGTGGATGAAAGATCTCATTGTCTCTTTATAACTGCCTTTCAAATAAATATATCTTTTCTTTAAAAAAATATCCTGAATTCTACTGGTTTCTCTCCCACAGCCAGCATCTCCGTTTTTCAGGGGGAGTGTGTACATTTGATGATTCCTTAGCCTTTCCTTCTTGGGGCAGAACAGTAAAAAGTGCACAGCAGCAAATTGCTACACGTTAACTGCTCAAGACCTTTCTCTTGGAAAGAACGGAAACAGTCACCATCCTGCAGAAGTGAGCCTGCTGGGTGATCTAGATTTCAACTTCCAAGGCTTGGTTAATATGGAGAATTAGGGCTCATATCGGATATGTAGAATCTTTGGATCCAGTATTTTGAAGTTGTGGATATTGGTGTGCCAAGATTGTTTAAATGCCCCAGTGACATTTTCATGGTGGGAGCTACTTTTTTTTTTTGTGGAATGATAGTGGCAGTTTTTCACATAAAAGTGCTTTCACTTAAACTTTAAAAAACAAAGAGGGGGGGCTCTCCCAACTTGACTGCTTTTACACATCTGATAGTTTGATTGCATTCCATCCACTTAGACTTGTGTGGACATCAGAGCTGGGGGGTGGGGGTGTGGTTCTAGATGTGGTAAATAGTGTTAAAGAGCAGAAACTTCTGGGTAGGATTTTGAAACTAGCTAGTTAACCAGCTTTTATGATTTACACAGCTTATCTCTAAGCCTGTTTTGTTTCTAAAATGATTCGCTTGTCAGGGCGGCTGTAAAGATTGAAGTCATGATTGTTTGGCATCATATGGTCGTAATCAGTGGTAGCAATGATTAATCAAAAAAACCAAACTGTCATTCTTGATCTTGTCTAATACAGTCCACATGCCAGCCTTTCCGGGGTTTTGTAATCACCTTGACTTTGAGATGATAGCGTAGCACTTGGGCAGTTCCACAGATATCCAGGACATGGAACTATCTGGCTGCAGACTTGTCTGGGTAAACAGGTAGCTTCTGACTCTCCACTGCTTCCCTAGTTCTCCCACCTCCCACAGAAGCTGCCAGCACAGTGAGAGAGGCACTTCCCAGAGGAGTTTCACAGTGAGAGAGGCACTTCCCAGAGGAGTTTTTGATAAGGAATTCCAAGTAGCTGTGCCTGCATTAGGGCCATCAAATGAGCTTTCAAGGTCCTTTAAGTGATGATCAATTGAACAAGTTTTTTTTTTTTTTCTACTGATGAAAAAAACACCAGTCAGTAAGATGATTTAAGAGATTAGAGAAGACAACCTATTTAATATGTAAATGTACCAGTTATATTGTTCAGTTTCAGCTATTTGAGTGCTTCCTAAGAGGTTAGTACATTATACCTGAGTTCTCGCGAAATGCCTCATCATCCGTGTTTACCTGATCTAAATGAGTTGCAGCTCAGAAAGGTTAAGTGCCTGTTTCGTGGTTCCCCATTTGGAGGTAATGTAGTTGAATTTTGACCCAGGGTCTGCTGACTGAATCAGATGCACTGTACAAGTGGTTGTCCACCAAATGATACTGGGCTGTGAGGAGACACATGTGGGTCTTTAAGTAATTTTAAAGTAATTTGTTGGAGTCTCTTTTTTTCTATTGAATCTAATAAAATTGTGGCTCATATTTTGTATGCCTTTGTTCTTATTTAGGAATTCATGTTTCTTTCTTTCCAAAAGTGTAAGTCTCAGGAGTCTGAATATAAAGACCCAGTTACCACGGACAGGTTGAGAAGTGCTGTGCTGCACCATTCAGCCTGGCATCACTGCCTCCTGTGTAGCCTGTTAAGAGTGCCTGAATTAATTCCCAATTAATCTAATTTTCGGGGCTGGCACTATAGTGTAGTAGGCGACACTGGCATCCCGTATGAGCACTGGTTCTATTCCTGGCTGCTCCATTTCTGATCCAGCTCTCTGCTGTGGCCCGGGAAAGCAGTAGAAGATGGCCCAGGTCCTTGGGCCCCTGCACCCATGTGGGAGACCTGGAAGAAGCCCCTGGCTCTTGGCTTCGGATTGGCCCAGCTCCGGCCATTTGGGAAGTGCACCAGCAGATGGAAGACCTTTCTCTCTGTCCCACTCATCTGTAGCCCTACCTCTCAAATAAAATCTATATTTAAAAAAAAAAAAAAAAGCTGCTAATTGTCTTCAGACCAACATCACAACAAAACTTGGATCTTTGCATTGTCTCCATCTAGTGGCTAAATATGGGGCAACACCAACTTCTACCACATTCTTAGAACTGTTCTTGAAGCTTTGGATTTCCAGAACCGCGGTGGAGTGACACCAAGTTTGTGTCAACAAGAAATTACAGAACTTAGTTCCACAGCAAAAACAAGTGGGAGCCAGCACTGTGGCCTAGCGGGTAAAGATGCTGCCTGCAGTGCTGGCATCCCATATGGGCGCTGGTTCTTGTCCTGGCTGCTCCACTTCCGATCCAGCTCTCTGCTGTGGCCTGGGAAAGCAGTAGTACTTGGACCCCTGCACCCATGTGGGAGAAGCTCCTGGCTCCTGCCTTAGGATAGGCCCAGCTCCGGCCGTCTGGGGAGTGCACCAGCAGATGGAAGATTTCTCGCTCTCTGCCTCTCTGTAACTCGGCCTTTCAAATGAATAAATCAATATTAAAAAAAAAAAAAAAGGATATCTGTACAGTATATGGAACTTGACCTTTTTTTGTAAAAGATTTATTTACTTGAAAAAGTTACACAAAGAAAGAGAGGCAGAGAGAGAGAGGTCTTCATGCGCTGGTTCACTCCCCAATTGGCCACAACAGCCGGAGCTCACCAATCTGAAGCCTGGAGCTAGGAGCTTCTTCATTTTCTTTCATGCAGGTGCAGGGCCCCAAGGACTTGGGCCATCTTCTACTGCTTGCCCAGGCCATAGCAGAGAGCTGGATCGGAAGTGGAGCAGCCGAGACTTGAATTGGCACCCCTATGGAATGCCAGCACTGCAGGCAGTGTCATCACCTGCTAGGCCACAGCGCTGGCCCTGAAACTTGACTTTTAAAGCAAGATTCAAATAGTTATATCTGACATCCCATATCAGAGTACCTGAGTTTGACAACCAGACTCGGACTCCAGCTTTCTGCAAATGTGAACTCTGGAGAGGCAGCATGGGATGGTTCATAGTGACTGGGTTCCTGCATCCCACATGCAGACCTAGATTGAGTTCTTGGCTTTCCTGGATTTGGGCCCAATGGGGAGCCATTACAGGCATTTGGGTAGTGAACCAGCAGATGAGAGCACACCAATGCTCTTTGCCTGCCTCTCAAATATTTAAAATTTTTAAAAACACTCAAGATTTTTCATTGACCCTAAGAATGTTAGTAAGTGAAAGATTCTGCAGTTACCATACAGATTCAGGTTGGCTCTGACACAGAAAGCATGGCATTCACATGTGTGTGCTTTAAGAATTATCTAACCTGTCAACTGTACTTAGATGATGAAAGAGAACTTTTGAGTAGATAAGGAGTCAAGAACATTTTCAAAAGAGTAGTTGGGAAACCAGACTGCACTTCTGAGTTTCCAAGTATTTAAAGGTGACTTCTATTTTGCTATTATGTTATAAATGTTTTAACATTTTCTCTAAGGGAAACCATTTCACTCAAGTTCGAATTATGTTAAGGCTTTAGAATAAATACAAGGGGGCTTTCCAAAAGTTCATGAAAAAAAAAAAATAAAAAGGTAAATTTACTTTGATACAAAGGATTTTTAATTCAAGCATAATTTTTTTCACATTGTCCACTTTTTATTGAAAACAATGCAGTTTCCAGTTTGTCTTGCACCAAAATAAACATCTCTTGTAAAAAATTTCTTTGAAAGGCAGAGACATGTTTTCCAGCCACTGGTATACTCTCTTCACATGCCCACATTAGCCCACAAAGGCAGGGACTCAACTGGGGTGAAGCCAGCAGCCAAGAACTCCATCTGGATCTTCCATGTGGGGACAGAGACTCAACCCTGAACCATCATCTGCTGCCTCCAGAAGGCATATCAGCATGAAGCTGGAATCCAAATAGAGCCAGGACTCATATCCAGGCTTTCAACATGGGCTGCAGCTATCCCAAGGGGCTTAATAGCTGTATCACTAAACTTGCCCTTTAATTTCATTTTTCCACAAATTTTTTTGAACAGTCCTCATGAGCCTGGCCCCATAACAGGTAAGTACATGTACAAAGTGTTATCTAATGCACTACTGCAGGTGGAGAAAAAGTCAAAAGTGAAAATAACCACTAAATGCTAAATATTTGGAACCCTTAATCAGTAGTGGAATCCCTTTTAAAAATGGGGGGGACGCCACAAGCCTTAGGGAGTTTTACAGTCTACTCCAGTGGCTCTTCGAGATGACTGTTGCCATGTTACAAAAACTGCAATGTTCCAAAACCTACACACATACTGTTTTCTCCCTGTTCACAAAGGGAAATGGGCTGGACAGAATCTGTTTCTGGCATCTTCAATTACTGTTCTTCAAATCTTCTTGATTTTTCTCTCCCCTGTTTAAAACAAGTTTGGGAGCAGGCAAGTGGCACGGCAGTTAAGTCTCCCGCTTTGTACACTCACATTCCATTTTGGGCTGCCTGGTTCAACTCCCAGCTCTGCTTCCAATTCCAGCTTCCTGTTAATACACATCCTGGGAAGCAACCAATGATGGCTCAAGGACTTAGGTTCCTGCCACGTGCGTCCCTGGCTTTGACCTGGCCCAGCCATGACTGTTGCGAGCTTTTGGGAAGTGAACCCGCAGATGAAGATCCCTGCCTTTCAAATAAAATGAAAATAAATAAAATAACCTTTTAAAAGAAGTGAAGGAGTGGACATTCAGCCTACTGGTTAAGAAGCTAGTTCAGACCCCCATGTCACACATTGGAGTACCTGGGTTTCAGGCCAGCTCCAGCTCCTGACTTCAATTTCCTGTTAATGTAGACCCTGGGAGGTGGCAATGACTTCAAGTAATTGGGTTCCTGTTATCCACCTGGGAGACCCAGATGGCATTCCCAGCTCCTGGCTTTTGTCTAGCCCAGGCATTTGGGAAACGAACCAGCAATGTAAACTCTCTTAAAATTTAAGAAGTTAGGATACTACTTGTACTTCTGTTTTACTGATATTCTAAGGATAAGCACTTACCTTGGAGAATAAAAAGTTTTGTGGCATTTTAAAGGAAAGTTGTGGATCAGGAAGCAGGTGGATTTTCCTGACTGGCTTGATAACATTAAAACCGGCCCCACAGATAAAACTGGGGTTGGGGTTGGTGCAAAGACTATATAATGTGCAGGGGAGAGATTAACTCTAGCCTCCTAAAGGACCTAGTTTTGCCTGAACCTTCTTCACACTAACTCCTTCTTTCTAGCCTAGGCTTTTCTGTAAATACAAAAAATTCTTAGATTGCAGTATATTGATTTACTCGTCAATCATGCCTGTTTTGTCAAAATACCTCAGATTACCAAAGTAAATAATGCCAAGAGTTTAAAAAACTATTCTGACTTATAGACATTTATCTTTAAAAACCTACTAGGCAAAGACCTTTTCAAGCAGAATTTTGTTCTAATGTTTTGTAAGTTCTCATTCTCAGTGAAGAACCTTTCTGTAATTTAAAAATTTTTAAGTTAGTTAACATTTCATGGTAGATTTTTAATTTTATAAGCATCAGAGTTTATTTCAAGAACAGATTCCATTTGCCTAATCTTGTATCTTCAAAAAAGGCAGCCTACTGTATGTTTCATGTTAAACATTATATTTATTAAATATGGATTTGAAGCTAACCCCATAAACTTCTAAGTTAACTAATTTTAAAATCAAAAAATTAGTATATATTTTGGTAGTTTTTAAAAATAATACAACAGCATTAGTAACTATCTTTATTCTCAAACTGATAAAAGCATTTAACATATACTTTACAGTATAAACAAATTAGTGCTATGCATTTTACTTTAAAGTGACAAAGTATTTCAAGCATTATATAATTCAATTTGTACAAAAACTAAATTTCCAAATAAAGCTTTGGTTAGAACTGATTATGTACTGTGAAATCCATTTTCCAAAGTTGTTCAAGAGAGGAAAAATAAAATCATCCACTACTACCAATATGTCTTGTACAATCAAAGGTCTTTACTATTTATCAAGAAGGAAAATAATACAATAATTTATTTTACTTTTGAAGTCTGGATCAATCTTTTTTCTTTCTCATTTTTAAGTGGCTACAGGGTAGAATACCATTACTTTCGAAAAGCATACTTTATACAGAAAATCACCTTTTATTTTATTCTTATAAAGGTCATCTATTTTTAGATTCTTAGCTTCCATAACTACCAAGACATCTTCTAAAAGTCACACTACTGAAGAGAGCCATTTCAAATATGACTATATTCCACTGGGGATAAATTGCTAATTTCCCTTAGGAGGGGAATATTTACCAGCACTAGAGCCCAGAATCAAAGTTTATATAATTTCAAGAAAAACAAAAACAAAAACAAAATATAGCCCCAAGCTTAGTAGTTTTACAGACTCTAAAATGCATGGCTTACCTTTATTCATATGAAAGTAATATAAAATACTATTTAAATAATATAAAAAATCAGCTCAACCAAATTAACAATCACGAAACTGCAGACATTTTTCTATTAAAGTTTTCCAGTTT